TTATAATAAATTTATGTAATATTTCGATCGATGGAGCTTCAAATATAACATAGAAGATATGTGGATTTCTTGGACTCTTTAATACCACTTCTTTAACCCAAGCAATGGATTAAAGAGTCATAAAAACATTCAAAACCTATTACGTTCACATTTTGTTTTCAAATAGCCACTACGTGAAGGAAAAAAATAACGCATTAATGGTATTTAAAATCAATTCAACGTAAGGCACGGTGCAGAAATGATTAAACTTGCATGAGAACAAGTGAATTTATCAAAATGAATAGTTGCTGGCATTCTCTGGCGAGAAACTTGTTAGAGTTTCAAAGGATTTCCATCGGTTGAAAGTAAAGCCAAGAAAATTGGTAAGAAATTTTTGAGACATAGGCAAATTATAATTCAGTAAAAGCCCTTTTTTGCGATACCTTAATTTTTATCCCAGATTCTAATTCAGAAATTCAGTTTACACAATCAACGAAAATGAAAAAGCCAAAATTTATATGGCAAGTCTATCAATTTTGTGGTTCATTATTCCCAATAAATTTTGTGTATATTGTATGAGAGCAGATGAATTCATTATTTAGTATTATGTTGCCACACAATAATACTGAAGTTCCTGCACAAGCAATTATTCGATAGGTTTGTGGCAGGGAAAGAAAGTAATGAGATCCTCTAATTTGATCTTGAGGTATCTAAGTTCAGCTGAGTTCTAACTTAGAACTCAGCTGAAGTTCAGACAAGCTAGTCCTGTGTATTTATCCTAAATCAAATAATCTAGAATTTAATCATTTTTCATTGAACTGATATTTTTCAATTAAGACAATTTTTTGTTCAAGAGAGTAACACAAAAACTGAATTTTCTTACCAAGGAATGAAATTATGATTAATTTACTATAATACAACCATTATACATATAAATACAAACATTATATATGTAAGTTCATTTGTCTTTTCTACTAGCAAACAAATACACTGTCTCTATCCAAAGCCGGCACGATTCATTGCTTGCTTTGATGATATTGGGGAAGTAGTTTTCTTTTTTGGCTAATTCATATAATCTAAGAATAAAGAAGTTCCAGTTTCTCTATTTTTAGATGATATTACTTTAAACCCTATGTTTAGAGAATTTCTTCATACTGCTGTGAAATTAAAAGAGGAAATTTATATGAAGAAATTTCTCAAATAATAGTTTCTGTAATTAAAAATAATCAAGTCATTAAGTGGAAAAAATTAATTTGCGTCAGTACTGGTCTGCAAATATGAAATATCAAAGTTGCTTTTCAAGCATTTTAAAAATGTCGAGAAATGCAATATCAAAGTTTCATTTTGATTTGTAGCTTAAGTAAGATTACAATGTCATGGGAAGAATATACTTTAGCTTGAAAAACTTTCACTCTGCTCTTAGCGTTCTAATTGTAACTTGTGGCAAATTCTGCAGCGGTGTTATTTACTTTAAAAAATGTTATATAAATTAGCATGTTCTGTTTTTTAAGCTATGTAAAACAGTTTATGCTTCAAAATAACTAAAATAAAAGAGCAATGTGGCATTTTGAATCACATCAAATCTACATGCAGTACAATTGATGATATAATTGACATGCAGTAGAAAGAAGATTGCATAATTGTTTTCTGTTAAATTGTTAGTCATAGGTCTGCGGTTTCATTGTAGGAAATGCCCCCCCCCAGCGGCCGAACGGTAAAGTCGCTGAACACTGGTAGTTCGGTCCGAGGTTCGAATCCCGCGAACCGGCTGGCTGCATGGGCGTTTTCGTGGTTTTCCCCATGTGTAACGTGTATACGAGTCAGTTTCCATTAGAAAGTCCTCCACGAAGGCATCCCCCTTTAGCCCTAGTGTGCTTTGCCATAATTAAATACACCACACCACATTGTAGGAAATGAATGAAATAAAGAAACCTTTCGGCTGACGCCATATATAATCACATCAGACATTTTAGTAAAATTTTAAAAACTAAAATTTTAATACCAGCTTCTTCAAAGGAAATTCCAATTAAGAAGTTGTTTATCATCTATCAAAAATCTTTACACAAAGAAAGAATAAAGTTCTTTGAAGACTAACAAATTTATCTGCTGGGGATATGTCTTTCAGTAACAACTGTAAAACAATTTAATTTCATCTTGAGCAAAATATCGAATTTTATGACTACCACTGAGAAACTGTGTATATATATTTATATAATGTAGAAACTGTTTTTAAGAATTTCGTGTTCAAGAGTTTAAACTACTTAGTCTCCTTAGCAATATGTATACTTGAACCACAAAATCAATATATTCGATTTCTAATGTACTTTTCATTCTATCAGAGGACAGAAATTTTCTTTTGGTTTGAATATCTGTGTTACTAAATTAATTTTTCTTACTACCTGTATGGATTTCCTACAAAAATTTTAGTTTTGTACATTTTTTATTAATAGATAACCCATGCATTTTATCCTAATACGGAAATCCACCTTATTTGATTTGTATTTAAAATTAATAATCCAAAATACAATCCAAAACTTTTCAATTTTAGTATTAAAGACAGTTATGTTAATAGGAACAATATATTAGATTTGTGCGAAAAGTGATGTATCAAAAGTGATTAAAAAGTATAGTAAATTATAAAGCAAACTTTTCAAATTTGGAATTGAAATTTCGTAGTTGATTGAAAGCAATGTATGCCAACAAACTAACAGTTCGATTATTTTAGCTTTCGACTGTAACATAATAAATCAGAAGAGATATTTTACTTGGAACTCTTAACAGATTTTCTTGGAAAAATATAGAATCACTAAAATAAGAATTTAACAGCCATGCTTGTCAAACTGACCTTCCAAATAGGAGTAAGAGATTGAATTCCTCTTTACAAAACTCATCTATCGTTTTATATCTTGAATAATAAAAGAATGGGCGGAAAATAAATAAATAAAAACTAATAATCGAATTGCACTGTGAAAAGTAAACGCCATTATTTTCACCAGTTTATCAAGGAGCATCATTTCCAAGATATATTAATCAATTTCTCAGCTTAAATTAAAAAACAAAAGCACGAAATATTTAAAACCTTTTAGTAGAATCACTTGACGAGTCTAAAAATTCATTTTATCACAAAAGAGTTTAGTTTAGTGATTTCATTTTACTTGGTTACTAGCTAAAGTAATATGTTCTTTTTGTTTTTCTTGTCTTGGTAATGAGTCCAATTTATCAAGAATTACGGTAAGATTTTCCGGAAAATATAGAACTCGATTTTGCATAATTTCCTTTCTGCATATTTGAATTTAAAATAGGCAAAAAAGCAATTTTTCTTTAGTGTAGATATTGAATATAAATCTATTCGTTTTCAAGGATGACAAAACATAGGTCTGTTTTTTTCAGGAGCAAAACTTTTTCGTAAAACTAGAAGAAGCAACAACCATTTTACATCAAATTCATTGAGCAAAGCAAAGCGATAACAAACATAGCAGTAAAAGAACGTCTAAAGAAGGTAAATACTTTTGAATGTAGCAGCTTCAAACGGAAACGAAATCCAACTCATTTCATAAACATTTTCATAAAACAAAAGTAACAGTTGTGATTAAGTGCCCATTTATGGTTAGATATGGGAGATCCTTTAATATAGACATGGGAGATCCTTTCAGTTATCCTTTCGTATTCCTTGAATAAAAATTTTAATCCTCTGTTGGTTTCGTCGATATACGTCAAATCACTCTAAATAATATATGGTAAAAATTTCACAAGAAATTAAATTAAATCCACAAATGAGATTTTTTAAGTACACAGCAACGAAGTTTCAAAAATCCAAAAGACCTCTACATGTTCGATTTTCAGATCGTTTATTTCCCCTATGAATAAAAGTTTCTGCCTTATTCTTATAGAATCAATTTCTATGGATCTTACAGGAGTTTATCTTCCAGGTCATTTAATCACATAACTGTAAATATCATTGTTCGACTTTTAACAATCTCATTTCTTATTTTAACTTCGGGAGGTGAAAGGGATCATAGTATATCTTGTTAATGTAGTTTGACATATTCCGGAAAATAAAATGAGCCCTAAAGTTTTTTGTCAGAGAGCACAATCTAGGGTTTGAAAAGGAGAAGTAAACAACTCTTCGATAGCTAATAATAGCTGGACACTCAATTATAATTTTGACCAAGTCCTGGGAAAATTATTTATAAAGCTGAATTACTTGATTTTTTCCCCACGATCACAAAATTGTATGTTCTATTATTTCATGACATTAATTGCATATTAATTCTTTCTAATATTTTCAGAATTCTTCTGTCTTGTTTTCTACATTTTATGACTATTTTCCTTGAAAGACGGTGCTAGATTCGTTTTCATTTTGCTCCACTCATTGAGAAAATTTGAGAGGAAAGGGTTATCGCGCCTTAGATAATAGAAAAAAAATAATTTTCCATAAGAAGAGAAATTTGCATCTGATCGCTTTCAAACTTCACAAAGGTTTGTTCAAAATCTTTGCCAAATTAAGGCTGTTTTTTGGATACCTGAATTTGAAAATTTATGATATATCAGTGTATGGTAGTATACCTGTTGGGAAACGCTACGTATGAGAATGATCTAACAATGACGTAAATCCTGATGACAGTAAACGCAAACGAAACTTAAGTGAATTATAAGATGAAAAATAATTTTTAATCTTGCATAGGTCTTCCTACGTATAGTATTGTTGATTGTTGATATAATAATATAAATTATGAATGAAATTGAATCTAGGAATAAAAAAGAAATATTATAAGTATTACGTTTGAAAAATGTATTCTACATAGTGCAAACTTTAATTGTGCTCTGAAGGATTTTCATTTTGAGCCGTCTAATATAATACTGAAATTATATTATATTCTCTGAATTTCTGGAGATCTGATATCACAAATTCAAAACCATCTTTTGGAAGTAATTTTTTTAAAACTGAGTTACTTAAATGAGATGTAAAATAATGATACAAGAAGTGAGATTAATTTTTGAGGGTAGAAAAAATAACGAACCGTTTTCCGCTTCGTGTCAAGGAAGTTTATGAGAATATTTATCCAGTATTTCAGCCGGAGAATTCATGCACTTTTCCTTGTAAAATTATATATGTCTTTAAACTGAAAAAGATATATTTTATTGGTCAAGTACATGAAATGCTTAGACAAAAATCTTCTCAAATGCTTAGAAAGCACAAAATATTTCAGCGTTTACCCAAATTGGTGTTTAATAGTAACACTAAATAATTAAGTTCATAATTATGATCTTATGCCAAATTAAAATTTGAACTTTTTTTGAAGAAATTTATGACGTAAATTAGCTTATATTCATATAAAAATGTGTAAATAATATAATCAAGGCAGCTCGTCCCAGAGTCGAAATTTTAAACAAGACGAAGTACCGATAGTCAGTAAATTTTCCAACTCAGATTTTGAGGGTATTCTAATTATTGAGCTGGACATTGAACATTTGAACAGAACCAAAACTTATTATTCCATATACTGACTAAATATAACAATTATGATTTGATAATTATTATTGCATCTTACAAAAATACAGGAAAAAATTCATTTCTTCCTAAATTTATCAAAGCAAAGATCGAAATATAAAGCGATTATTAAAATGTGGCTAGCGAGTATTCTTCGTCGTTAACAATATGAGAATGCATAAATATTGGGGCTAGCAAAAAACAGTTGTTTTCAAGCTAATTTATTTAAATTTAAATTAGTACATTAAATAATGTTATTACTGCATAAAACGCGAAGTAGATGTTAAAAGAAATACATTTTATAGTTGTACATTCCCTGACAATATGACATTATTAATTTTAGTCATACTGTCTGTTGACGTAAACTGTAAATTTATGTTATAGCACCTAATTATGACATCAAGTATGCTATATACATTAAACATAGCTATTCTTATTTCAATTTTTACCGTACACATGAATTTTGTTTTACATTGCTCATCAAAGCACTTTTATACATTACATTTTAAACTAACAGTAGCATAATAACTAAAATTTACTTAATCTGTTTGGGTGCTAAAAATTAACAGAAATTTTTATAAATACCTTTTATGTACTTAATTTTTTTTTAATTTCTGAAGAATGAAATTTAACTGGAAAATGATATAAATATCTAAGGAACATTATAGTTAGGAGTTTAAAAGGTGAGTTTTCACTAGATAGAATGATAACTGAATAAAATGTGACATTACCAGCAATACTGCACTTTGTTTCATCTTCAGTATGTGAGAATCCATTGTTACGACTAGGAATCAGCACCTATCTCTTCAGAATTTACTTAAATGAAATAAACCCAAACCAGGTCTGAAAGTGCATTTTAATAGTTTCTGCTATGACCCTCCCCACCCTTTCATGCTCCACTGATCCAAACAGACCGACAAAAGTAACAGAAATGGCTGAGAAAATATGAGTTTCTGCAGTAATATTTTCCTTTATGATATTTGCCGTGCCTTTGCTTTTTGGCGCACACGCGATTTTTACAAGGTCAATGTTTTCTGAAGACCGCCGGATACGCTCTGTTTTTTTCTTATTTAAACATTTCCTTTTTTGTTCTTGTTCACTTCAACTTTTTGACACGAGAACTTGTGCTTCAAGGTGTGCATTACAGATGGACGTTTATGTGCCTTTACTTTACCACAGTTCGTCACATAAAAACAACCCATACGATCACTTAGTGTTATTTCGGGCATTTCTACAACGCTTTATTGCACAACTGTGAAAAAGAGAAGATTTTATTATACATAACAAAATTGTAAATAGTAAAATATGCATTTAGATTGGTTCCGGTAAAATTGCTTATGTTTTGAGAAATGATTATTCCATTTTTCCCATCCTATATACGGAAATAGCCTAAGTATTACTTGAAATAAATACAGGAAATACATTTTGGAGACTAAAAATAAAAAAGGTCAAAGCCAACTTGCCGGCTTCCAATGCATTTGTAAAATTGTAAAACTATATACAATTACGTTTTCATTAATTTGAGTCTTACATGATCATTTGAATGCGTTTGCTGTGGAAACACACTTTTTTCTCCTAATTTGTCTAAGCTTGATTTATGCAAATTTGAGTGCTTGCACTTTAATAGTAAAAATTAAGTTTATTAATGAATTGCAAGGAACGAAGAAGCAGTCATTGATTTGTGAGATTATAAATAAGGAGCGAGGATTATGAAATCAAACCATGAAAATTGATTGGGAAAAAAGTTAATATTTTGATATAAATCAATGGCATTACATCAATCCAGAGAACATTTTGTTTAGAAAGGCACGCACGCCCAGATTTGGCGGATAATTGCACATATATACCACATAAACATAGGAAGGAAGATAAAAATGATAAAATGTTTTTGAAAAATCGGACAGATATTTACACCGGGAAACCAGAAGAATCACCTCCTACACCACAACAAAAGCACCTTTAACATGAATACTTCTTTTCAGACAGCAAAGATCCATAGATTAATAGCGTTGTATATATGTCGGCTAAGATCCAGAGTTAGCCGACATATATACAACTCTATTAATCTATGGATCTTTGCTGTCTGAAAAGAAGTATTCATGTTAAAGGTGCTTTTGTTGTGGTGTAGGAGGTGATTCTTCTGGTTTCCCGGTGTAAATATCTGTCCGATTTTTCAAAAACATTTTATCATTTTTATCTTCCTTCCTATGTTTATGTGGTATATATGTGCAATTATCCGCCAAATCTGGGCGTGCGTGCCTTTCTAAACAAAATGTTCTCTGGATTGATGTAATGCCATTGATTTATATCAAAATATTAACTTTTTTTCCCAATCAATTTTCATGGTTTGATCCATAGAGTTACTTATATTTTACATCCTAAAATTCATGCTAGACATGATGCTAGACGTGGCGAAAGCTTTCGACAGCGTCTGGAGTAAGGAGTTATTTTACAAACGCCTGTCCCTGAATTTTAGCAGACAAATGATTGTAATTCTTAATTCCTTTCTCGAATGACTCACCTTCTTTAAAGGCAAAAGCGTAACATACTCTCCTTCCAAGAACTGCTGTGTAAGAGTTCCGTAAGGTTCAGGTCTCACTTTGGCGCTCTACCTGTTCTTCGCAGCTGATTTTTTTTTTCTAAATCTGGAAATATCTGCGATCAAATGCCATGCAGACGATACCTCAATTGCGGTAAAATCATTTTCACCGAACCAAGCAACTAAAAAATTACACAAGAGAAGATTTGTGCTGAAACTGGAGAGTATCTATGAATGAAAGCGAATCTCCGCTGCTTGTAATAAGATGGCATAAAACCAAGCGGGAAATACAAGTAAAAGCTTATTTCTGTAATGAAGAAGTTGTATAGTCTTTAAGGTTTCTTGAAGCAGGAGACGTGGAAAATGTGCAGTGCCCTCGCCGGGACTTGAACCTGGACCTCTCAAATACGCATCCAATTTTTTTCCAGTTACACCATGAAAGCATGCGGAAAGGAGGTAGAAATTACCTTATATCGACCCCTTTTTAAAGGGCAATTGGGGTTAGAGGACTAAATCGCTAAATCCATTTGACGACGATTTATGGTTCACCAGCTATTAATTCGGGCGCCACTTGTAGTGTCATTAGGTTTTTCATGCTGGAATGTGGAAAGTATGCAGTGCCCTCACCGAAACCTGAAACATAGACCTGTCGAATACGCATCGAGTATGCTTCAAAGTACACCACCAAAGCATGCGGAAAGGATAGAGAATATAGCTTATAAAGTACTTGGAGTAACTAAAGTTGAGGGCTAACCTTATTTGCAATCTTTAAATGGTATCACACCAAGTATGCAATCAGTAGAGCCAACATGGTGATTTACCAGTTCCTACCCTTACATAGTTACAGATTAAATCTGGCTCTTAGGAGCAAAATAACTTTCTGGATAACTAATATACACTAAGCCTCCCTTGCCTGAGCTTCTGATACCTCGGGAAATGTAAATAAACTGCAAAATATTCAAACTAAGGAGTTTCGCGTTACCACTAATGCTTGCATTTTTATCAGAAATTCAATGATTCATAAGGACTTAAATGTCCCTCTAACCAGCAAGCAATTTGGAAGTACCAACGAAACGTTATTTACAAGATATTGCATAATTAGCTATGTAGTGTTGGAAGATGATAAATTTATTAGATCAATCACTGCGCACCTGTTAGGCGACGATCACTTTGTTGCATAGTTGGAGGAATTTGATGTTGCATGTGCACTTAAAAGTCCCTGTAATCAGTAAGAACCTCAGAAGTATCAACGAAACGTTCTTTGCCAAGGCAATTAACAGCTCTACTCTAGATTGCTCACAACTTTATTCTAAATGGCTCACAGCTTTATTCTAAATTTCTCACAGCTTTATTCTAAATTGCTCAACGATATTAACTATGCAGTGTTGACAGAAGTTAGGTTTACTAGACCATTCGCTGCACACCTGCTAGATGACCATAACTTTGTTTCATAACCGGAAGTCTTGATTGTACATACTTTTAAATATTTCCCTTCTTTCCCATGCTTTGATTTGTAATTTGTAATAATTAGTACATCTTTGATTAATTCATAGATTTGTGCTTTGCTTTTGATTAATACATAGATTTGTCCTTACCTTACATTTGTGTTATTTATTATCTGCATTGTACTTTTAATATTTGAGAATTTAGAACTCTGCGCAGGATTACATATTTTGAATTTTTCAGAAGCATACTAGCGTTGCATAATTTGATTTTACTTATTGACTGCGCCTGTCATTAGTGGAGCGTTTTTCGCATCAGTCATCCTATTGTGTCATGGTTACATATTTGAAATACCTCTGGAACTACCTCTCAGAGTAATCACTGCATCGTGACAAAGATCTTCAGTCTTCTTTCATCTCCTGTTTATTGGAGCATTCATCTCATCAAACTTCAAAGTCATGGCATTTTAGACAAATGTTTATTGTGCGAATGATGGCCCAATCCAGCCATAAGCTTGCACATCTATATTATATCGGTATCCATATGTACATTAACAAGGAAAAACACAGTACTTGATTTAAGTCACGCCCTCTATCCACCTAGTCTACTAAATTTACTCTTATACAGTACTACTTTTTCATTGCACTACTTATTTCATAATTTGTTTTAGATTGCACTACTTACTTATTGTATTACTTTTATGCTTTATATTCCCTGTTGTATATTCTGGCTTTGCAATGTTTCTTGCACCCTCTATTCTCAAATGTGCAGCCATTGCACAGCCACTTAACCCATGTAAGGCCATGTGCCTCACCTAAATCCTTGAATTTTTCAATAATCGCTAGATAGTGAAGGACGATTGAGACGTCTTCGTGGATCATTTTCTAAGCAAAAAGGGCTCGTATTTACATTACGCGTGGAAAACCGTCCAGGAGTAGCCCATTCGCCTGTGCTTAAATTAAGATTGAACTGCTAACTGAGCTGTCTTAATCATTCCTGGCATCACCGTCCAATCGGGGTATATGCAAGCCCACATGTAAGTAATGAAGTATGCAGTTGCCTTTACTTACCATATTCGAAGAAAGACAGGTAGATATTGGTAATAATTTCAAAAGAATTTTGCAGTGATTTCATGGTATATCGCACTTTTTTTTAACATAAGCTTTCATTAAGATGATAGCATTCAGTTCTTTACTTACCTATGCCAGCCAACTACGCCTTCATTTACGTAAAATGAAATGGCTTTCAATTCAATGTTCAAGAGAATAATTTTAAGCCTTAGCAAATTTAAGAATTTAGGAGTTTGGGAAATTCTTCATGATGATTCTTAAATGATCTATGATCCATTATTGTGGCAATAACTACCATGCAACGTAAAAGGCTGATACTGAACACTTGCAATCATTCCGAGTAGTCAACTATACCGAAATAAAGTTGGATTTGAATACTCATGCTTTTAAATACGCCTTCGACTGATATATATAGCTTACCCATTAGGATTAAAATGTGCGAGTTCTACAACAGCGAAATAAATTACATCAAAAATAAAATTACTATTTCTTTCATAAAAAAGAGTTGAAAGAAATGTTCATAAAGGAACAAATATATATATTCAACACTCAAAATTAAAAAGAAAATGGAAAAAAAAATTAATTAATTAAAAATGAATTTTTTTGCAGTTATGAAGACAATTTCACATCATCGAATAGAAAGTATCTGCTGACTTCTGAACTTTGATACATTTATATAAAATACTGTAATCAAAAATTATCATCCTATTAGGCCTTTCAAATTGAAATATGCAAACAAATTAACACGTTTAATGAAAACACGTTTATACGTAATTGAGAGATATGCCGCCCAAACGGGATAGTGGTTAGTGACTCT